GCTATTGATTGAAAACGCGATAGTACGATGATGAAAACACGAGAGTACGATGGTGAAAACGCGATAGTACGATGATGAAAACACGACAGTACGATGATGAAAACCCGATAGTACGATGGTAAAACGCGGTAGAACGATGATGAAAACACGACAGTACGATGATGAAAACGCGAAATCACAAAACTACGATGGTGAAAACGCGACAGTACGATGGTGAATAACACGACATTACGATGGTGAAACGCGATAGTACGATGATGAAAAACACGACAGTACGATGATAAAAACGCGATAGTACGATGGTGAAAACGCGAAAGTACGATGATGGAAAAACACGAAGTACGATGATGAAAACGCGAAAATCCACGAAACTACGATGGTGAAAAGCGACAGTACGATGGTGAAAACACGATAGTTTATCGCGTTTTCATCATCGTAGTATCGTACTGACGCGTTTTCATCATCGTACTATCGCGTTTTCATCATCGTAATTTCGCGTTTTCACCATCGTAGTTTCGTGATTTCGCGTTTTCACCATCGTACTATCGACTATCGCGTTTCAGATCAACACATTCATAGGCGATGGCCCTAACGGCATTCCGTACTGGGGAGTTTAAACCCAAACCTCACTCTTAGCCCACCATGTTCCTATAAACGAGATGGTGTCAATAAATTGAATCCTCGCCAAGTAAATTTTTAACAGTTGTATGGTTTCAAAAGGTAAAATAAGTAAAATACCGAAATGATTATGTAGATACATATAAAGGAATTCATATACATGTATGACCATAACAAAAGTACTCAACATTTTAAAGGAAGACAGAGTAACAAAAAATATCACCTACAAGGGCCCGACGAAGCAAGGCAGAAGACGAACATTAAGGCAATTCAGTCCCAAAGGGCATTAAGAACTGTCCAAAGAGTAGAATATCCCACTTGGTCCGTCAGATGTAATCAAAAGAGGAAATGATCAACTGTTGAACACTAAGCATGCGGTATATCTAAAAAGTAGTCAAAACTTCTTTTGGTTAAACGTTTAATAATTTTATTAAAGGCAACAATGACCAAAGATTTTGCGAAGCTTGTTAATAACATCTCCATTAAAATCATTTTTGAATCACGACTGAATTTTGATATTAAATCAAAGTTACGATTGTTAAATTTTGTAAAATATCTACGTAATTTATAATGACGGTAGCACTGTTTGAGTAGCTTGCTAGTAATAAAAATATTTAGCTTGTTAAAATCCCTCATGTTGCTAATCTAATTAACTGAGATACATATACCCCGTCAGATGTTGCATGCGGTACGTCTCCATCTAAATGTGGATAGTTTACTATATATACCATAATCAAAATCATCACTTTTATCATAGATTTTTGTGTGAATAGAATTGTTTTTGATAGTAATATGAAGAGCCAAAATGAAGTTTAAACGTAGTTTAATTAGCTCTCAATACTATCTGCAACTGAAGTGTGCCTTTTTTTTTTTTTTTTTAATTGCGTTTATTTAAGGTCGCCGCCGGAGAGCCCATATGGGCGACCGTACACTCAAGTCGGGCCATCCTAGAGCGTCCCGCCGAGATTTTTCGTCGATTTTTTTCCAGCTTTATTGGTGGAGGAAGACCCCAGGTGCCCCTCCGGGCATTATTTCAGGCACGAGCGGGCACCTGGGTAGAACCACCGACCTTCCGTAAGCCAGCTGGATGGCTTCCTCACATGAAAGATTTCGACCCGAGTGAGGATCGAACCTACAGTGGTGAGGGACCTGTGATCTCAAGTCAACGACTTTAACCACTCGGCCACGGAGGCCCCTTAAGTGTGCCGCGGTTGGCCGTGGGTTGTATACCACCCGGAGGTGAAGGTCATTTGACGGCTTCGTAACAACGTACGAAGGCATCGTACTCAAAATACGACGTCTGCATGGTACCTATCCTGTGACCTCGCGTGTCCTTCTGGTAAACTACTTTGTAACAAAATTGAATCTTTAGGTGACTTCAGCTTGAGTGTGTAATCGGATGCGACCGTGACGTTCGTGTAGGAATTTAATCGTGTGCGGTGAGAATGGTAGATAGCGGCCCCCTTTGTAGGAAGGACCTTTGACAATTTTTGGCTGTTTGGAAAGAGCTGTGGGGACCTTTCACATAAAAAAAATTCATATTCGTATGCCCATCTGTTGTCAATTTCGGTGCATTATGAAAGAGCCGAGAAGATGCGATTAGTATTATAGTATTATAATTAATATGATTGCTCGAAACGCATATCATAATAAACAGAAATAAAGGGACGATAAATAAAGATTTTGCCAATGAAAAACCAATGCTGCAGATGCATTTGAAATGGATTTTTTAAATCGCCCGCTTACAATGATGTCTTGTAAGTGCACGTTCAGTTGGGTCACAAATGAGCACATCGTGAAAAAAAAAATGTGTTGATGTCAAAAAAGAGCACATGACCGCAACGTGCGCGCTGTGAAATTATATTGTTTCCGAATAGAAAAATATGTTGTACTCAACATCATAACCATATTTGTGCATAATTTTGATTTTTGAAAAGAATGATATGTTAAATATAAATTTAATTTTGCGTTTAAAACCCTTTTTTTCGGTCAATTTTTAGTACATGAAACAGACTATAGATTTATTTAAGGCAGTTTCATTGGTGCCCTGCTTCGATCAACGGCGCATGAAGAATCCGGGTAGATCACTTAAAAGTATTTATAGATCATCCCGCCATTAAATGCACATATAACTGAAGTTGGCAGTTCTTTTTTTATATAAACGTGAACTCTAATAAAATATTTGGAAATGAAGAAAATTCCTGATTAGAACAAAGACAGTTTGGATAGCAGACAAAAGAGATAAAATTTAAAAGTAAGTAGAATAATTTAACGCTGTTGAAATTGACTGATTCGTATCCAATTAATTTCGTACCCGATTTTATAATATTGTTTTAATTAAACTTTACATATTTTCTCTTCTCTTTGCTCTCTTTTGCTTATTTATGTACTGGACAAGTGTGGTCACTACTTGTCATGCATATCTTAATATAAGATTTTTTTCTTGTGAAGGAACATGGTCCCATGTTGTGGTGCCATGCAAATGTCACAGGGTGACTAAAAGTGCTGCCTGACTATGACTCGAACCTAGGACCCATGGAATACCATTCTGCTGCTATACTTACTGAGCTGTCTAGCTGCTTGCACATCTTCTCCCCTAGTATATAGTGATACAGATAGTTCTAAATGCTTGACACAAAGAAGTTAACTGAAAGTGAAACACAGTGTACCACGGTGCATATCCATATCGGTACCCTCTTTGCGAAATCTGCTGAAACGGTACCCTCTCTGAACATGCACAGGTCATTCTCTGCTAAAAACAAACCAGCGATGGATACCAATCCAGTAACATTTCATTGTAATAAGGAAAGGAGGTATGTCACGTAGAAAAGATGTATACCACGGAACACTAGGATGTTTTATTTATGTGCTGATTTGTCATGTGCCCAATTTTCATGTACTGCAACTTAACAATAAGCTACAAAAAATCGACATGTCTTGCTTCGCCCATCACCTCGACATATTTTTCGGACTGAAATGAACCCGTGGCTTGATTATATATGCATCATACATATTTAATATGTTCATATACATATCATCTTCGGACAAATGGCAGTATATTGTCAAAAATAAATGTAAAATTCATAAAAACACCCTACTTTCGGTTTTGCAGCGGCACGGGCTACCTCTCTTCATTTGAATTTTTATATCACAGGTTACCTCTCATTTTTTAACACATGGGTAACCTCAAAGCACGACATATGCTTTTATTTGCGTTAATCGTTAAGTATGTAATATTTACATAAAAGTAAAAAGTATTACATACACACTTAACGAATAACGCAAAAAAAAGTATATGTCGTGCTTTGAGGTTACCCATGTGTTAAAAAATGAGAGGGTACCTGTGATATAAAAATTCAAATGAAGAGAGGTAGCCCGTGCCGCTGCAAAACCGAAAGTAGGGTGTTTTTATGAATTTTATATTTATTTTTGACAATGTACTGCCATTTGTCCGAAGATGATATGTATATGAACATATTAAATATGTATGATGCATATATAATCAAGCCATAGGTTCATTTCAGTCCGAAAAATATGTCGAGGTGATGGGCGAAGCAAGACATGTCGATTTTTTGTAGCTTATTGTGAAGTTGCAGTACATGAAAATCGGGCACATGACAAATCAGCACATAAATAAAACATCCTAGTGTTCCGTGGTATACATCCTTTCTACGTGACATACCTCCTTTCCTTATAACAATGAAATTTTACTGGATTGGTATCCATCGCTGGTTTGTTTTTAGCAGAGAATGACCTGTGCATGTTCAGAGAGGGTACCGTTTCAGCAGATTTCGCAAAGAGGGTACCGATATGGATATGCACCGTGTGTACTGTACTAAATATTTCTTTTCTATATGTGTGTTTATTTCTTCAAAAATGTAGTTAAATTGAAAAAAAATCTAGAACTATGTAAACAAAACGGTGATGGAATCCATTTTAAATACTGTTCTGAACTATTTTCGTTTCATTATTTGGGAATCTTTAGTAGAATTTCAGATACCACCCTATTCCAAATTGCCCTAATTAATTACTGGTAGGTGTGAATGATTTGACTCTGTCTCATTTTACTGTTTTTTTTCCTACTGTCAAAATGACATTGCCTGTTCAAATATATCTCAATGTCTCTTTGACAAACCTAATAAGTTGGACTAGAATAGACCCCTAAGCACATGAAAAACTGCAAAAAATAATTTTTTTATATGTCCTAAATAAAATAACTTATAAAATAACTTACATGAAAAAATCAAAGGATTTCATAACAACATTAAATTTAGTTTCTCTCTTTTATTTGATAATAATAACTATAGATGTAATAAGTGTGAGATTTCCCAATTTAATTTAAAATCACCCAAACAAAAGATTATAAACGATGTCTGGTAGTCTGGTCATCTTCTAAAAATGGTGAGAAAAAATCTGTCAGAAGAGGAAAATTGTTAATACATGTATTTTTTTTGTCTGCAGAAGTAGTTGGCCAAGTGTCATTTGGTTGTTGAAGGAGAAAAAAAGACTGAAATGGCAGAACTCAAAGGATATAGACCTACTTCTGCTGGGGGTGAATCAAATGGTATGTGTTTTTTTGCTGGGAAGACTTCATAAAATAGAAATATAACTGTGTGAACACAAACACACCTGTATACTCTACAAGATGTAAATTTATTCTCCTAAAATCACTAACATTGAACCTGGCTAGACATGTTATTGAGCAAATGTGCAATATCATATGTATATACATGTATTATAAACTAGCTGATCAGCAGTATATCAATGTAAATTATCAAAGTAGTCTGACACGGGTCGGTCTATTTACCCCAAGAGTGGACACCCCAAGACTACCCCAAGACACCCTAAGACTACCCCAAGAAACCCCAAGACTATCCCAAGACACCCTAAGACACCCCAAGACTATCCCAAGACACCCTAAGACACCCCAAGAATACCCCAAGACACCACAAGACTATCCCAAGACAGTGGTTTGTTGATTATTTAGCAATTGTTAATCATTACCTTTAAGTTAATATAACAATAAAAAATATTTAAGGTAAAATAACCATGATGAAATTTTAGATTTTGGTAGCTTTATCATATTTATTTATAGCTCAGTTGTCACAGAAAAAAGGTGAATCATTTTCAATAGAACTGATCATAACATAATAGTGACCCCAGTGACGGGCTTGAACTCGAGGTTCCTGGAATGAAATGCAAACACTCTTAGAGATTGTATCTATAAACATGTATATCATGCTTATTAAATGTGCATATTTTACCTTTGTTATATATGTCATAGGGTGAGGAAAATATGCAACCTGACCGGGACTGGAACCCGTGACCCTCAGAATATCGCGATTGCAACCTGACCGGGACTCGAACCTGTGACCCTCAGAATACCTCTAACATATGAGCTATCCTGCCGCTTACACATTTTCCTGTCTAAATAGTGAACAGTTCTGAACCGTGACATATATTAAGTGATTCAGAGTTTTCATTATGAACAAATTAGCGATCCAATCATCTGATGAAATGTTGTTAAAATCGGTTGTATTTTCAGCCTGTAGGTTAAAATATCCTCCTTGACCCTTGGCAAGATCGGCTGTTTTGGTTGGCACCTCTGTTGCCATAGATATCAAAAAAAGAAAACCCCGTATTTGTTATTACATATTTGATATACATGTCTGCTAACTGACCTTTGAATCATATTTTCTTTACAGTGACACGATTTAATAGATAAAATGTAAAAAACTGTTCAACAAAGACAAAAAAACCTTCCTTTTGTTGTGTCAAGTAGCCCTACATGTATGTCAACATGATTCTTTTTTATCTCTTAGTTTCGTCATTCAATTTAAAATAAGATCATTTTATATGAATTGTAATGTTAATTGTAATTTACAAATCTTTGAAATATTGAAGAGTCATCCAGCTAGCTTAGAGAAGGTCATTGGTTCCACTTGGGCACCTGTCCGTGTACTTGACATAATGCATGGAGTGGCACCTAAAATCTTTTAGCTTGAAAGTCGCCATATGACCTTCTTATACAAATATTGTGTGGAGATGATCATGATGATGTAACTTAAAACCAAAACCAGAAACTCTAAAAAAATGAAAAGCCGCAGTGAGGCAGTCAGCCAACAGTTTAATGAGATTTAAACTAGATGTGCAGACATGTCTGACTCAAGGCTTGTCATAATGATTGCATTATATCACTTGCCATTGACATGGTCTTGACTCTAGCATTCCGAAGTGTTAACTTGTCTTTAAGTAGGTTATAGTAAAACTACTACTATTTAAAGTGTGATAAACTTGTTGAAACAAGACACAAGATAACAAACACATGGACTGATAATGAATGGTGCAGGGATAAGATATTACTGATACAACTACTGAAGTATTGAGGGAAGGCCCGAAGAGCTTGTTCATAACATGACAGTCAAAAGAGCTAGATAGAGATAATCCCACTTCTTTTTTATTACGGGTTATCAATACATAAACATTTTTTTTTGGTTTATTTTTTATCTCTTTTAGATAAATTGATAGTAGAGCTAGTGAAAAATATTTAAGAATATACCGGTAGCTCTAGTATTTTAAGCCTTAAACATTGTGAATGTCAAAATTTAAGCATTAATTCAAATTCCTTAAAGGCACATCCATCAGTCATCCATATTTTTTAATTCTTTAGAAATGTCAAACATGGGTGTAATAATGTTTAAATAATGAATTAAGTGCATGTTGGATGTTTTACAACTGAAAAAAGTAGCGCTGAACAATGTTATGTGTGACGTAAAGGTAGCAAAATGTAAACAAAGTAGTATTTTGACTTCCATACATTATACTATTTCACTATGATTATCATAAATTACACTCTGAACTAAAGACTTTAACAAGATACCAAAAGTAAACAGTTTTTGAGCAATAAAAATGATAGCATTTCTGAGACATAATGGGCCTTTAACCTTTTCCCTTATATAAGCGTGTTTCAACGGCTTTTTGCCCCCCCCCTTTTTTGAGGCCTCAAACAGTGAAAAAATGCCCTATTTAGACCCCAAACACTGTTTTTCGTTTGAGAAATGTTGTTAAAAAAAGTGACCACTTTTTCGGCGCCGTCCCCCATCCAAATATTACATCAGGGGGTTGCCAGAAGGGGGATGTGCCCCCTTCTGTTTGGGGGGTTTGAAGGGGGGCGGAGTCCCCCTCATCGCCAAGAAAATTTTGGACATGTGACAGGCTAAAAATGGCCTCAGGTCGATCTTAGGGTAACTAGTAACCGACGCTGAAAAGCCTTTTACTCTATCTCAATTCATTGAGAAGTTGCAGCACTTTGAAATCAGTTTTGATGGAAAAAAACAATGCAAAATAGTGATTTTTGGCAATTTTGAGACGTCCCCCCGTTGCCATGGTAACAGGAAATTTACCATTGAGCATGCTGTTACAGAGGCTATGGTGTAGTCAACATTTGTGCCAAGTTTCATTAGTATTGAAGCATTTTTCATAGTTTCATAGCAGTTTGAACTTGTTACAGGAGGCTTTTCAATGAAAACGGCCATTTTTCGCAATATGCTCATGGGGTAAAAGGTTAATACTCATGAGTTTTCATTCAATGATTAAGTACAACTGCACTGGTTATGATAGTGATATTGCTATAAATGCTAAGTGGTTTACAAAATCATTCAGCTGGCAATAGTGAATGTGTGTTTATATCAAGATTTAAGTCACTTGATATATGAAAGGAAACTTTGGCAAAACACCTTAAATAATGTTGTTATGCTCCAATAAAACTGACCTAGTTTACTGACAACATATAATTTAAATTTCATAAACTTCTGATACCCCCATACATGGCTTAACGAAATATTTCCAAAATGATGAATGGGCCTTAATTGATAAAAAAAAATACACCACAGCTTGAATTGGTTAGGTTACAATAATCCATTGATGTAAGATATACCCCCAAAAAAATTTAAAAATGTAAAATATTAAGGTATATGAAGTGTTATATTTATATTTCACCAGTTGCGGTAAACACTGTTTGTGAAGGAGTGTTTAAAATATAGTAATACTATACTGTGTATATTATGATGTGCTAAATTTTGACTTTTTAAGGAAAAGTTGTAAAATTGCCCAAATGCTCATGGCCAATTATAAACCAATTAACTTCCGACTAGTAGTATCTACTTGTGTGTAGGTATTATATACATGTATAAGATGGTGCCAATTTAAAAAAAAAGTTATGAATGGTACCTACCTTTAGTGACAGGACTTGTTACTAAGTATATTGTATAAAATCTGGTCAATGAGTCTCAATTTCATCATTTCTTTACTAAATTTGAATTTTTTTAACTTTGTAATCTCAACATTTTTTTCGGAGGACAGTCTAAAATATTCTTCACATGAGACATCTAGGTCTTGTTACACAACTTAAGCAAGGAAAAATTTGATATACCATAATCGGTCATAAAAATATATCATAACTAAATCAATAATGAAATACAAACTTTCGCTCTGTTTAAAAGTTTATGGCCTTTAAATACAGGTTCAGTCGACAAGAAGTAGTAATACCTATTTACACACATACCTTAAAATGTCACCTGAATATTTTGTGGAAAACTTGTCTAATCTTAACATGTTCATGTTCAGAAGACAAAAAGTTTTAAAGCGCATAACTCCAGATTCATTCTTATTTTCGTGAATAATTTTTCAAAATGTATTTAAAAGTAAAATATCGTAATGTAAATAAAGAAAGTAATTTAAACATTGCAAATTGTGAAACAGCACTTAAAATCCACGTAAATTACCAAAATTGAATAAAGGCCAGAATAAATATGCAAAAATAGCCTTAACTGCATTAGAAGATAGTGATAAATACTGCAAAATCAGTCATTAATTTCATGAAACATGTAAATTAATTCTTGAATTTTGAATATATTGAATTTTTCTTAAAATTCTCTTAAATTTTTTTTCTAAAGGTTGATTTTCTTGAAATTCAAATTGGCTCATCTGGAGGCATGTAGTTTAAAAATGTCAATAAAACATTGACAGTTCATTTATATAAATGCAATTTGTTTCGTATGTTATTTTAAGTCAAACCAAGTATTTAAAGTAAACTAAAATGTTTCACCGAATTCTCCCTACTAGTACAAATAAAAACTAAAAAAACCTCAAAATATGTTATGAAATATCCGGCTTGTTCAAAGTTCAAAACTCTTGTGATGTGAGAAAGTTTATTTACCAGGCAAATATTTAAATTCCTTTTAATTGAACAAATGTGAAATACAGGGATATAGATTATATGTATGAATTTGTTGAGATTTATTTCTTAAAGGCACATTTTGCCTCAGAAATCAATATATTTTTTTCTCTCAATTCTTTAGAAAGGTCAGATACTTGTATGATAATATTTTGATAATGACTTTAGAGCATCTTAGATGTTAAACAACTGCAGAAATTAGCATTGACTGAACATTAATGTGTTGTAAATGTACATTAAGCTTAGTGTAAACAAATAGTATTTTGACATCCATACAAAATACTAACTCACTATAATTAAACCAGTTGCCAAAAAGCAAAAGCATCGAA